TTTAATAGCTATACATCGACCGACATACAAGGTTTTATCATTTGCTTTTATCATTTTAAATTTCCTCGTGTGTGATCTGATAGGCCTAGACAACTCTCTTATCACGCGCCGAGACTATTATAATATAGTATATGTTATGTTTTTAACCCATCAATGGTTCAGAAATGGAATCGAATTGTGAACAATTTGGCTGAGTTTATGCAGACCCACGTAAATATGAGTGCTATTAATGCATACCATCATTGGTATGCCTTAGTGTATGTAACCAACACGTGGTAGGGTATCCTTTAGATACAGGTGGGAAAATAAAAAAATATTTTTTCTTACAAATTCACTAATATTATATATTCTAACTTAGTCGATAATATGTCATTTAGATAAATTTATTGTTGGAAAAATAAAATGTATTAAAAAAGCTTAGTATTAAAATCGTAATTTTTGGGAATAATAGTATTACTAAGTCAAGTTTTTGTTTTTATATATACGCTGACACAGAAAAGTTTGGTTTTTATCATAAATATCGTGCTGAATGCACATTCGCGAAACGTTAAAACTCATTTCGCGTTGTTTTCTCCTTCCCACGTTGCCATTGTGTTTTCGGATAAGAGCGGTGGACGGTGACTTGGTGCCGTCATAAGGACATGCTGTAGAGTACAACGCACTGCGTGATTCAAACACGGCGCGTGGGCGGTAAACGACCGGCCGTGCACCACACGGCACATGTCGACGCGCGACCTTCTGTTTTTGACTGTTCCGGATGAACCTTTACATAGTCTACCGACTGACGCCCGGTCTCTGAGACACTGGTCATCGTTAGTCAACTAATCAGCTGTCAAATGGCTTTTCAAATTTCTTTTTAGTTGCCAAAAGGATGGTTGAACTCTCTGAATTGACCAGAATGATCTTCTCAATGATCAGATTGATCAAAATTTAAAAAATTGTTTAGAAACTAAATGTGTTTAGAAACTTCGTTTAGGTAACTATACCCTTTCTGAAATTCACTGACGTAAATCTTTAGAGTATGTATGCCAGTGTTTCATATTAGACGCCGCCTTATCCAACAATACAGGCATTTGGAATTTGGCATATTCTCCACTCGCGAGAAATCATTTACAGTTTCGTAAATCTTAATTAATCATTTTTATACAATAGAAAACGCATTTTTAATTTGATGCTGCCTTTGAGCGTCTTTATCTGACATTTACTTCATCGCGAAATAATAATCAAATCTTTATATAACGTATGATGTCACGGGCCTTATTAGATTATGAAAGTCTCACTTTTGAAGTCGCAACTTTGACGGCCGACGGTTGACTCGACGGCTTCCACGAGCTCCGTTCGTGCGGATCGCGAGAGGAGCCGATGGGTCAGGCAGCATTGGTCACGGCGATAAACGCTTAGAAACGGTTGTCAGTTGTTTCGAGAGCCACTAGGGTTGTAACAGCGTACCGATAATCACCAATTCCCATCGTCACCACCACTGCCACCACTGTCTACGGCATTTAAATTCGCCTGTGGTACAGAATGGCTTGAATAATATATAAAATCAAGCATTCAAAAGTTATGGTTCTAAGACTGTAAAAATAAATTGACTCGACTAACGCGTAGCAAATTTTCTAATTAGTGAAAATTAGGGCATGTCACTGTTAATTTTTTTCACTTTCAGGATGTGTTATGCTCAAACAATTTGGGGCAAATTTTAAATTATAAAGTTACTTTAGCGTATAAGTCACGGCAATCGTTAAAGCCCCACCGACATCCGGATTGTGCCTTAACTTTAATAATAAGTGACATTAAGAAAGTTGTTCATACATAAATGTTCGGTGGTCGCTCGCGTGCTGCCTCCAATAATAAAAGTGACTTTCAGCCGCCAATTGAGCCGCGAAAGTTTCAAGACCCTAATCTGAAGGTCAGCTTTAGATTTTTTTTCGCATGGTCTAAAATTGTATAATCTATTATTAGCATAGTAATTTCTGTGTAAGTTCAGACCTATTTCCATTAAGCATAATGTCTAGGTTTTTTTTATAAATAACAAACTAAAATAATACTGACGTAGATAAAACTACATTAGAGACATTACTATATTAATATTTCTCAAAAACAAAAAAAACTATTTGCATTTAGCTTTGGTGTAATGCCGCCATGGAGTATAGCTTTATTTTCATCTATTGTGCATCATATTGAATTCTTGAACATTAACGTATGAATAGAATATATTGCTGTTTTCGTGAATGTCTGTTTTCAGAGTTTTTCTATTTTGCTGACTTGAAGTACTTTACTTTTTTACTTTAGTTGACTAACAAATTCTGATCATTCAATTAAAATATTCTGATCATTAAGAAGGTCATTCTGATCAATTCAGAGAGTTTAACCATCCTTTTGGCAAATAAAATGAAATTTGAAAAGCCATTTGATAGCCGATTAGTTGACAGCTACGATGTTTCAGAAACCGGGCGTAACTGTATGATATTGACATTATTCTTGCACATGATATAAACACGAGGACCTTGTAAAATATAGATATAACGTTCGAAATCAACACTATTCTTTATTTAAATTCTATTCAAAATTAAGTTAAAAAACTAAATTCATTTTAAAAACAACACTCGGTCCAATACACAATGCCTTTCGATTACGTTCCGTTTCGCTTTTGTGTGATGTTAGTCTCAAAGTTAAGGCCCATTTACACGATGCCATTTTCTTGTACATACAAGAGCAATAATTGAATGCAATAAATTGCGCGCAATAATTGTTAAGACCATTTGTTGTTAGACCATGCAACTCATTTATTGCTTCAATTTAATTGTATACAACAGGCAAGAAACTGGCACCGTGTAAATGGGCCTTTAGGCTCGACGTTTGTACAATGGCGGACTATCGCTCATCGGCGACACTATCGACCCGTTCGCTTTGTGAGTGACGTCACGCCGTACATTTTTCATCAGGCCCACGCCGAGCCAACGACTGGTCTAGGCTCGCGGCGATGTACGCTTGCTGGCTGAAATTCGTCGTAGTAGTTTTGAAAGTGAAGACACATCTTCAAATCAGCCTATTGCAGTCCACAGCCTGTCTCAAATCACGGCCCCCATAGCCACCTGCATCATTCGACTTCCTGCACATTTGTGCAGGTTACTCCATCTAGTGGGGGTTTTTCCTATACAGCTATGTATATATACCAATACGAGGCTGCCACTCGAGAACCTTCTTTCTCTATCGGTTATCGGTTCTATATGGCCGGTCCATTGCCACTTCAGATAACCGATCTTCCGAGCTATTTCGTTTATCTTAGTTCATCTTCGGATGTCTAAAAAGCATCCCAATATAACTTGAGATGTGGATGTGGAATATCCTATTGGTGTGCGAGAATTACATGAAAGATTGCGAAGTAGTTTAAAAAAAACAATCCTTAAAAATAAAATAACTTTCATTGATAAAGTACTTACTTACATATTATTATCACTATTTCATTATTACCATTCGGTGACTAATCATGGTAATGTGCGACAGTGTCGCAAAGATCAACTAGCTTACTTTAAAAATGTAATATCCATCCGAGTCTAATTCAGGTAATGTTAACAAATTTACTAACACGCATTATAGACGCTCGTAAGGTACATGTGTATGTCTCTACTCGGTTAGTAGACGATGTACCGATCGCCTATCAAACAATTCCAGTAATTAGCCGACGATATTTCGTGCGTCAGTCCCCACAGCGTCGCCGTTTGCTTCGCATTCCGGACGGAACCTCTTCTATCGACGTTCCATTTTCAAACTGAGAATAGTTTTTTTTTCAGTAGTTCAAGTTGCTTACGGCCATTTGCATAATTGATGTAATAACTGTTGTTTACCTTGAAAGTTTACCACCGTGCGAGCTTGGTGCGTTTCGAGTAAATGAAACGTTCGTGTCGAGTTACCTTTGCGCGTCACGGTTCATCGCCTTGAGTACAGAAAGAGGTCCTAATATGGCGGACGGCGCTGGATCGCCTTGCGCCGACGCACGCAGCCGCCATTTTCATCCGTCCGTCTGTCACGGGAGCACACGTCGGCCGAGACGATTCACTGATACGAATTCGAAACGAGAACGAATCTAAGCGACTTATTCTCGAGGCTCGGTGGCCGATGACGTCATCGTGAACCGAGAACCGCAAGCCGAACTATGTGCTACTCGTGGCTACGCTGCAGAAAGCGGGTGGCCGACTCCGCCCAATGCGATACGGCGGAGGAGTTCGGGGGAGTCGCGGGTACGGAAAAGCCCGCCCCCGATGTACCACACGAGAAGGAACGGATGGAGTCACGTAAGAGACCGGCGATACGGATATTTTCACGCACTCTTGTTTTGTAGTCGTACTGCTTTGGCACTTTTTTTTATTTTGAACACCCATTGACATATCGCGCTCCCAGATGACGAAGCAAATGTATTTTTTTTTGTTTTTGTATCTGGTACTTTAGAATTAGAGCAACGAAATTAGGGAAATATTGCAGGATATCTTGCTCGTTCAAGATTTCCTTAATATAGAACTAGTAGTAGTATAGCAGGAGTGGAATAGCGATTGAGAAACCCAGTTGCTGGCACTGACCAGTTCCCCGTGTTCGTAACGATATTATAGTTTTACTTTGTACATATCACATAGCTTTTGTCTCCCATAACTGCTACGGTCTTATAGAGAGACTGTTCGATCTTAACCTTTTGCTGCTCTGACTCCGTAATGACTGTCCGACCAGCAAAAACTGCTGAGGTTGAAGTCACGACAGCCGTCTTAAGCCTCAAGGGTATAGAGAGATATATATCTATTCTAAATGTTCAATAACGAAAATCGTATCAAAAACTATATCTTTTCTGAATTCAGCACAGTCCATTGGTGTCAAATGTTTAATACTTGAAATACCTTTTTTTGGACACAGGAATTTCTAGAACCTGTAAACATATACAGATATATCGATAATTATAAGTGTCTGTATCGATATACCTATCTATTCAACTTTCGCCATCCCCGCCGCAGCGCCGACGCGCGCCACCCGCAACAACCAGATGCGGGCGTCGAACGCCGGCGGCTACACGAACGGCCACGGCGGCGACACGACGGGCCGCCGGGGCGCCGAGAACGTGCCGCCGCCTCAGCAGCAGCAGCAGCCGCCGCCGCAGCCCGTCCCGGCCGCCAACACGCGCGTCACGCAACAGGTGAGTTAGGACCGCCCCGGCCGCCAACACGTGCCTCACGCAGCAGATGAGATGGAACCGTATAGCGAGGGCAGCGCGTGCGGCAATCGCTCGCGACTAACCAGATGAAGCTTCACCGTATGCGGTCACCAGATTCGCCAGACGAGACGAAAGTATAGTACGTCCACTTCACGCTGGTCTTCAGTTAGGCCGTGATACTTATCCGGATGACCATTCGTGCAATGTTAAGCTGCCGCGTGACCCTACTAGAATTGACTGTAATTTCTCTGCCTGCGATCGGACAGCCTAGTCGGGCGTGATGGCAACCTTTATAAAAGTGTGGCCGGTTACCTTACCCACGAGTAGAAACGCAAAAGTATAAGTAAGACTTTAATTTCATGCTGGTCTTCTGATAGACCGTGGTACAAGAGCATAGACTGCTGCTTGGTCCTACCATGTTCAGTTGCAAGTTATTTTTCCGGAGTCGAAACATTGCACGCAATTCAAAGTTGCATTTCGTCTACGAAAGTCAGTGACAAGATGGTGGAGGCGATCGTATATAAGGAAGGCGAGTGAATACGGAACTGGATCTAAACTCCATAGGCCATAACATCAAGGAGATAAAACTACAGTAACAAGACTCGTGTTGGGAACAACAAATAATCATTGGTCATGCCTGCGAGATTCACTCCGTGGCCTGAATTATGCCACTTACAAGTACCATCGGCCACGGTACTCGACTATCGAGTTACTAAACTATGTCCCAGAGCAGATTTTTTTTATGTGGTACTGAGTACTGTGGTAATCCCAATAAACCTGCTACGTTAGCAAAAAAAAACTAAAATACATCATCTCATATCCCTATCTCCAGCAAAGTCCGACTCAACTACGCTGGCACCTATTATACACACGATATAAACCGGTGCCGGTACGCTGTGTTTTGTCACCTTTATTACACCCAGACGCCCTCATACCGCCCCGTCCCATCCCGTTCCCTCCCCTTCCAGGCGCCTGCCTCTGGGGGTAGATCCCGCGCCGGCAGCACCCCCAGCGCGGCATCCCTCCCCCAGGGCCACCCCCAGTCCGGCTCCGCGCACGGGCAAAAGCGCATGCAAAACATCAAAGAGGTTCCTATGTTCCCCTGCTCCCGTCTTGTGTAGACTAGCGTTCGTTTACTGGTCACTTGTATTACCACACCTCGCCCCTAGCCAACGTTTATATGTTATGTATACTACTAGGATTAAGTGATTAGGGAATAATATGCCTAATCTCAAATAGGCATATTATTCGGTTAGTGAAAGTAATTTTTGATTAGGTTTAGGAAAAGATAATATTGTTTGGCAGAGGCAATTCACAAACATAAATGAAACAAGGACAAACACACAGATCTGTCCCCAAGAATCCTTGTCCCAGGTAATAATAGAACCCACAACAAGCGGTTTACATAGCGCCATGTTTCTAGGGATCAGTCAGTCGTAGACCTTATATCAACACATTAGACGTTTCATCTTAAGAAGATCTGGTACGCTATTCAATTCCATTTCTTTGAAAGTAGTTCCAGTTCTTTCTTTGCAGAAGAACAAAAATAACCGACATAGCTCAAAAGATTAGTGAGGTGGAGTGACGGTGGGCCGGCCATATAGCTCGTAGAACCGATAAACCGTTGGGGAAGAAAGGTTCTCGATTGGCAGCCCCGTGATGGCCATGGTAGTGCAGGCAACCCCATCACCCCCCCACCCCCCAGTAGATGCAGTGACAATCTGGGCTCAGGATTGTGGTTCGTGGCGGTCTATGTGCAACAATGAACTCGTAACAGGCCTATGAGTACCTACTTCGCACATATTTACAAAACGTTCTATTCTATATTTACAAAGCTAAGCACTTACTATGGATACTAGGTAACTGATAAACGTACTCTTCTTTTGCAAATTAATACATATTATAGACATAAACACCGAGACACTAGAAAAAGACCATGTTCATCACACATTTCACCAGTAGCGGCGATCGAACCCGCACACTGTGACGCAAGATAACAGGTCCACCAACCACAACGCCAATCGGGTCGTCGGTAAATGATGAATGAATTAATGAATGAATATTTTATTGAATGAATATGAATGAATGAATATTTGTGTATAACATTTGTATGATGATGACGATCCCCGCGGTTGCAGTTCGGCGTGGGCGGCATGGGCGGCGTGGGCGGCGTGGGCGGCGTGACGCGGACCGCCGCCACGGCGAGCGCGGCGTCGGTGCCGCACGCCGTGGCGTCCGGCGCCGTGAGGAGGTCCAACGTGGTCAAGGAGGTGGAGAGGCTCAAGGAGAACAGGGAGAAGCGACGCCAGCGGCAGGCCGAGCTCAAGGAGGAGAAGGTGAGTAGCCCCGATGGAGCTGGTGCCTTTGAGGAGGTTCTCAATTGGACTTTATTTTTTTTATTATTTGTTACCTCATAGCCTTCGACTGGGTTGAACTTGATGGTTTTTTTTTGAAAGCTGGCGCTACCCATGTGGTCCCACATTAATTTCATCGTTATTGGATCTTCGGCTCCGGAGATACGTAGGGAACCCCTGAAAATCAATTTTAAAATGAATAAGGAGCGAGATATTTTAAGTCGGTCCTTTTTTTCGTTAACAAAAATTACTTGTTTGTGTGAAAATATGCCGAGCGAGCAGGCGGTTCACCTGATGTTAAGTGAGTAATACTATACGTTCGGAAGGCACTTTCCGTTGGGAAGAGACCAGACAGGAAGTCAACAGTTGCTATTTTTTTTTAAAATACCACCGCCCGTGGGTTTGTGCAACACCCGACGAGTTGTAGATACGTTGGAACGGCATAAAGTTAATGTTAATTTATTTATATGTCTCACCCATGTGCTCTTCTGTACATAGGCATTAGGGCACAGTCCACTACGCGACCACCTTTTTCATGATAACAAAAAAAATATCTTCGTAATATTTTTTTTTGTTATTATGAAAATGTGCGGGTTTCCTCGCGATGTTCGCTCACCGCTGATCACTAAATAAGTCAGCACTTAACATTTTGAATGAATTAAAGGCGAGCGCCCGGACACTGAGCTACCGCTGCATGGCAACCCCTATAAAACGGCCCACGTTTTAGACCACCGTCACCTTACCAAACGCGAAGGTATAACAAGTATCCACTTCACGTCGGTGTTCGGTAAGGCCGTGGTACTTACCCGGAGTCTGCCCATTCGTGCTACAGATAAAGCAGCTGCGTGGCCCTACCACAGATAAAATAACTCCCTACAACATCACTTCTATATTAGTTTTTGATCATGGTTTATTTTACATTTTTCTTTTTCAATAAAGTATATTCATTCACAAAAGAGATAATATACATAATTTATGTATCTGTCTCTCTTAACACATTTGATGACTCCGTGGCGCGGTAGCTATTGGCTTCGGCATCGGGGGTCGTGGGTTCGATTCCCACACGGGACAACTATTTGGGTGACCCACAGATAGTTGTTTCGCATCTGGGTGTTTGTCCGCATGAAATTTATGTTTGTAAAACGTCCTTACAACACAATCGTCACAAACGTTCTTACATCACAAAAGTTCTCCTAAAGTAAGGGCAATGTGTTTAATAAAAATAAAAAATAAAAAAACGCATGCGATTAGTGTTCATAAAATTAAGATTGCTCTTCACCCTGCCCTGATTTCGCACGGCTAGGCATTTAGGTTAAGTTAGATTATCTCGGATCGGAATTTATATGAAGGTGACTAAAATTTAAATGCATTTTGCAATTGCAATGTTTAAACTTAATGAGTGAGTGACTGAACGGCAAGTATCAAGATTTGCAAATAGAAAGTTACTCTATACTCTGATTTTAAAAAAATGTGTTCCACATTTTTTCTCATGGGTTAACTTATGCTAAAAAAACTTATGCTTAAAAGCTATTTTGCTTTTAGCGTCTATTTAGTAGTCTAACGCCCGGTTTCTGAAACACAGATCATCGTAGATGTCAACTAATCGGCCGTCAAATGGATTTCAAATTACAATTTAGGTACCAAAAAGATCGTTAAACTCTCTGAATTAAATGAACCAGAATGATCTTCTTTATGATCAGAATGATCAATTCAAAAAGACTTTATTATCAGAATGATCAATTCAATAAGAGTTTAAACATCCTTTTGGCAATTAAAATGAAATTTTAAATTCATTTGACAACGGATTACTTGACATCTACGTTGATCAGTGTTTGAGAAACCGGGCGTAAGTGATTATTTTATTACGTAAAAACAAACGTTTTAGAGTGAGATACGAACGCTGTCTATTGCCGGTTCCGTTCTGAACCGCCATAAATTTTTGTACCGGCAGTGTATTTTGACGATTGCTTTAAATGGGTCTAAAGTCAATGGACGAGTTTAAATTTGACATGGTATTTCACGTGAGGGGCATTAAAGTGCCCCAGGCGAGAAATATGCATGACACCAACATGACACTAATTTTGTTCAACTGCCTAGAACTTGTACAATTCATGTTGAACGTTTTATACGAACATCTATCCTACTAATTTCTTAGTTCATTTGTTCTGATTGCTCTTTAAGGTACAGTCCGCAAGCAAGGTCTTTTCTTAAAAAACAATGTTTCTATTCCGTACTTGGTTATCGATCAAAGTTCGAATATACGACGTTTTTTGCACGATGAAGTCACATATTAGTAAAATCAGTAAAACAATCTAATGAATGCTAAGTGCCTAATGTTAACTTGAGAAAACCGTCATGATTGACAAAAGGGCTAGAAGGCATCGTCAATCTTGTAGAAATACGGGTCTCGGCTACCTCAGTCACGCCACTCATATCGGCTATCTAAATGACTTTAAAGCCTCAGTTGTAGCAACGTGTTCGCGTATTGGAACTTTGCCCAGCGGCGGGACTGTGCCCCAACTAACTACTTTTACTCCTTTTACTAGGTCGCCTGGAAGAAATCGCTTTTTAGCGATAAGGCCGCCTATTGTACGAGTTTTGTATCATTTTTTTATGATTATTCAATATCCGTTGTTTGTGTACAATTAATTATATTTCATTCATTCATTCATTCATTCACTCATTCATTCATTCATTCATTCACTCATTCATTTACCTGCTCATTTTCCAGGAGGCGCTGATGAACATGGACCCCGGCAACCCGAACTGGGAGTTCCTCGCGATGATCCGCGAGTACCAGAGCAGCATCGAGTTCAGGCCGCTGGTGGGCACCGAGCCCGTCGAGGACCACCAGATCACCGTCTGCGTGAGGAAGCGCCCCCTTAACAAGAAGGAGATCGCCAAGAAGGAGGTTAAGTCCCCTCTCTTCAAGTCTTAAATCAAGAGAATCGCCCGTTCTAACATTAAAAAGTTTGACATAAACAGGCAGCCAAACGAAAAGAAAACTGCATAAAAAAGGATATCCTTAAACCCATAGAAGTTTATGTTATACAGGGTGGCTTTTCTAAGTGTATCCATTTTTTTTAAATTAAATTCTAGACATAAACAATGTTATATAAAAATGATAAATATTTAATAAAATCATTCATTACATTCATTTGAACTTATCTCAAAAAGTGCGTGATTTATGGGCAACTCATTTATTTTACGCGCGATCATTCATAACTAACAGGCACACAAGTTCGTTTCAAAAGTATACGATTCATTTATGAATTACTACCGCATTGTCAACAAGTTCTGTTTTTTAGGGAATTGAATGGCAATTTTTTTTTAAATAAAAAGTTTGTTTTTATTTTAACAAATGATTATACTACCGAGTCTGAACCTCCTGTTTGCATTTAGAGACACCTTTAGAAAAGCCACCCTGTATGTTGTCGAGATGTCGATAACGAGGTTCATAAAAGATTTTAATCGAGAGATCTATTAAGTGATTTTATATTGTATCTTCATCAGGTCGACGTGATCAGCGTGCCCACCAAGGACCAGATGATCGTCCACGAGCCCAAGAACAAGGTGGACCTCACGAAGTACCTCGAGAACCAGAAGTTCCGATTCGACTACGCCTTCGACGACACCTGCACCAATGAAGTTGTCTATAAGTGCGCATGTTCGCCACAAAATCTGCTATTAGTTGATTTAACACCATAGTGTATGGGTGGACTGTGTGAAGAATGGTACATATCATACATATCTTTGAATGGTGTCAGTATTTAGATGATGGCTGAAAGAGGAAAGTTGAAGTAAAGACATGTTGTGCCGATCCCACCCAGTGTCGGATAAAGGCAGGAGAAAGAAAGTGTATAGTATTTAAAAGACCAGTTAAAAGAAGAATGTATTAATTGTCAGAATACTAGTTTTGAAGTGATCCACTGACCTGTGAAAAAACAGTGAAAGAAATTCAGTGGGACAATTTTTTTACATAATTTACAAAAATGTTTAAAAATACATATTTACTATGTATTAAATCCCTGGAGCGATCAATTCATTTCCTGAGTGGGCTATTTAAATAATCACTGATATTGTTATAGTCTTTAACACACTGTCCCTATAAAATTTTTTTGAACTTAGCAACTTTTTTTTAGCATTTTGAACGTTTCCAGGGATTTTAATAACAGCCTATATGTTTCCACATAAAAGATTTACTTGCTCTAGTGGGTTTGTGCGCATAAGAGACGATTTGAACGTTTGGAATGTGCAGGTACACGGCCAAGCCGCTGGTGCAGACCATCTTCGAGGGCGGCATGGCCACGTGCTTCGCCTACGGACAGACCGGCTCCGGGAAGACGCACACCATGGGTGGAGATTTCCAGGTGCCTTCTCCCTCGCACTCGCTTCTCTCATTCATCCTGCTGATTTTATCGTCTCTCCCTTTGGAGCTCCCACCGTTTTAGAGCTTTTTATGACCGGAGAACACCGGGAGGTAGCCGGGGCCCACTTTATTAAAGTTGAATGTATTGCTCCCTTTTTAGGTGTTTATAATTCCACTAGCGACCCGCTCCGGCGTCGCACGATTGCAACGTATTATACCTCACGTATATACCTTCCTCTTGAATCCACTCTATCTAGCAAAAAAAAAACCGCATCAAGATCCGTTGCGTAGTTTTAAAGATGTAAGCATAAATAAGGCCAGACAGACAGCGGGACGACTTTGTTTTATACTAAGTAGTGACAATATCTCGTGCGCGTTCCAGGGCAAGACGCAAGACTGCAAGAAGGGCATCTACGCGATGGCCGCCCGCGATGTGTTCACGTACCTCAAGTCGCCCAAGTACAAGCCTCTCAACCTAATCGTGTCCGCCTCCTTCTTCGAGATCTATTCAGGAAAGGTACTGCGAAGAATACGCACAAGGGATTTTACCACAACCTTAATATCAGTGTAAATCAGTAAAATTATATATTCTTAAACAAGGTTATCTAGTCCTAAACTAAGCGAATGTTGTTCTATGGGTCATATATATACATGTGCTCTGAAATATTTATTTATTTTATTTGTTATCAATTGATTGAATCGTCGGCAGGTGTTCGACCTGCTGGCGGAGAAGGCGAAGCTGCGCGTGCTCGAGGACGGCAAGCAGCAGGTGCAGATCGTGGGGCTGACGGAGCGCGTGGTGGACAACGTGGAGGAGGTGCTGCGGCTGATTCAGCACGGCAACGCCGCGCGCACCTCGGGCCAGACGTCGGCGAACGCGAACTCGTCGCGCTCGCACGCGGTGTTCCAGATCGTGGTGCGCTCGCCCGGCATGCACCGCGTGCACGGCAAGTTCTCGCTCATCGACCTCGCCGGCAACGAGCGCGGCGCCGACACCTCCTCGGCCAACCGCCAGACGCGCATGGAGAGCGCCGAGATCAACAAGTCGCTGCTGGCGCTCAAGGAGTGCATCCGCGCGCTCGGCATCAAGGGCAACGGCCACCTGCCCTTCCGCGTCTCCAAGCTCACGCAGGTGCTGCGCGACAGCTTCATCGGCGACAAGTCGCGCACCTGCATGATCGCCATGATCTCGCCGGCCATGTCCTCCTGCGAGCACTCGCTCAACACGCTGCGCTACGCGGACAGGTGCCCACCGAGTTATTTTATTTATTAACATTTTGACAATGAGATTGACTGCTGTCTTCAATAGTACAACATACATTACTTGATGTGCACGGGAGTATAAAGAATGTGCAACGGAAAGAGTATTAAAATATAGCAAGCCACCGTTGCTACACGTTATATGATGTGATTCGCTTCAGGGTGAAGGAGCTGGGCACGACGGAGGGGGGCCGTGGCAGGGCGGAGTCCCCGCAGGCCGACGTCGACATGGAGCCCCCCAGCCACGACCTGGCGCAGCTGCGCTCGCTCAACGTAAGCTCACTTGTACACACGCACATGCACTTATACACATGCACACATACACACATGCACACATACACACATGCACACATACACACATGCACACATACACACATATACACACGTTCGCACTCAAGGCCACGTGTTTTACCTCTCACCTTATGGTGGACTTGTACAAGTTGTTACTTTACATTTTTCCTCTGGGGGAGAATACAGACTACAATAATTGCATACAATTATACAGATTCAAAACAAATATTTATGGGCTAATTATTGTCTCATACAGGCGCACAGTTCTGTGATAAATCCTCAAAATATAAACCAAATATGTTTAAATCAATTTTTTTATATATTCTAGAAATAAAGTCATCTTCTTTGTTTATCAATGAAGAGGCTGTATCTAGCCTTTCTTCAAGCACTTTCTAGCTTAAAACTAAATTGCGAACATTATCCAACAAAGTAAAGCTCTGTGTCTGATGAAGCAACACATAATATGTCACTGTCACGAAAACTAAGTATATATCCGACAGATTGAAAGTCAAGGATTGACTGTACTGATGAATATACTGTATGTTATACATACATAAAGAGACTTACATAATACTGTTTGTATTATGTACGTCTCTTTATGTATGTGTGGTACATATGTGCTATATTTGATGCTAGACTGTGTGACAAGCTAAACATAATTATGGTGTCACGAAAACTAGTTAAATTAGCCCTACCTAAATTAGTGGTAAATCTAAAATTTTATCGGTATGTAAGTCATGAATTAAAGAAAGCTTATGCCAAGTCAGATGCGCTGTAACAGATTGCTGTTATAAACATATAAAGTCTAAAACCGCAATGTGTAATACCTGTAAGGCTGATAGTAGATAGTTGAATACTCGCTTACTTATTACGTATATTTAAAAGTGCATAAGACACTTAAACAACTATTGTGCAGATGTGTTCCGCTAACCGTTGCACCGTGTGCACAGGAGGGCGACATGTCCGCGGAGATGTACACGTTCCACGAGGCGATCGACGAGCTGCAGCGCGCCGAGGAGGAGGTGCTGGACAACCACAAGGCGGTGTGCGACTACCTGCAGCACGCGCTGCAGCGCTCCACGCAGCTGCTGGCCATCACGCGCGACGTCGACTACGACCAGGACGGTACGCTGCGCTGCTGCGAAACTTGTTAACTTCCCCCACAAAAGAAATGACTCCTCACGCGCTACGTCGACTACGACGGTACGCTACGCTGCTACGAAACCTGTAAACTTCCCCCACAAAAGAAATGACTCCTCACGCGCTACGTCGACTACGACGGTACGCTACGCTGCTACGAAAACTGTAAACTTCCCCCACAAAAGAAATGACTCCTCACGCGCGCTGACTACGCTGCAGGACGGTACGCTACGACGAAACTGTAAACTTCCCCCACAAAAGAAATGACTCCTCACGCGCTACGTCGACTACGACGGTACGCTACGCTGCTACGAAACCTGTAAACTTCCCCCACAAAAGAAATGACTCCTCACGCGCGACGTCGACTACGACCAGGACGGTACGCTGCGCTGCTGCGAAACTTGTTAACTTCCCCCACAAAAGAAATAATTCCTCACGCGCGACGTCGACTACGACCAAGACGGCACGCTACGCTGCTACGAGACTTAAACCCCCTCAAAAGAAACTACTTATAAAATAATTCCTCACGCGCGACGTCGACTTGGATGGTCGCGTGTCGCGCCCTCTACGCTGCTACGATACTTCTTTAGCTTACTCCCACAAAAGAAATAATTCCTCACGCGCGACGTGGACTACCATCACCACGAGACTTTTTAGCTCCCCCCAGAAAAGACGCTGCTTAGGAAATAAGCTCACACATCAAATGTGTGTGCTTATGTGTAATTTACAAAAAAATATTAAATAGAAAATTATACATATTATCTATAATATTTTTTTGTATTAAACATACTTTCTGTATATATACCTTATATATATGCCAAATGCATTGCTGAAGTAGAGCTGTACATAATGTATATCTGTATGTATGTAAGTAATTGTTATATGGTTACCATGTTATTTTTCTGATTATTTTGTAGTGTTTTATAATATTAATTATTTAATAAATGCACTATCTCCCACCTATTAGTAATACATTATATCTAAATGTCCCAAGCACCTGGCATGCATAGCGTAGGCCGCATGCTGTTTGTATGCAAGTGTTTTACACACATGATTATATGCGCACGCGTGTTCACATACGCTCACGGCATATGTCGATTACCATATTGAAATCTCTGATTGGAGTAAATATTTTTGGGTATTACATTTACATTACGTTCTTTGCATTTACATTTAAAAGCGTGTGTTATGCATCGCCTCAGCGTTTATGTAAGTGTGCGATGCGCGTGCATGTGGTCACTGTAATAATCACTGTTGTAGTGTGTGCGTGCCATGCATGTACACGGTGTATGTTTGTGTGCGTGTCAGGGCTGTCGCACTGGCGCAAGCGGTCGCGAGCGGCATACGGACGCGCGCCACGCACCCTCCGCTACTTGGGTCAGAGCCACGTTGCAATCACCGTCCGCATATTAATTCATCGCCTCCGCTCATCTGATTTGCGCGCTCATCGCTTCCGCTCGTGCCTCGGCTCTCTTATTGCCTTGAGGACATCCGTTAATGCCAGTTCAAATCGATATAATGTCCCAAATCAAAAGAAAATGTTTCCTTGTTTATGTGTAATCGCATAAACATCTAACACCACAAACATCAAACATCTAAATACCCTACACACTCTAATGAGTTGCGAAGGTATATATCCACATAAGTTGTATAGCAAATAATACCCAACTTCCTATGAAAAAAAATAACTTTTTTGTATTTTGATACTTTAAAATCATATGTTTTGATTTGATACTGTAACAATAATTAATAGTTTTAAATGATAATAACTATTTACCTGTTGCTGCATCATATTGTATATGATAAGTAAAGAATTTAATTTTTGTAAGTAAAGCCTAGTTTCAAATTAATATTTTTTTTCCTTTTATAAGGCATCATCTAAATTTATACAAAATTGAGTCATATTTTATATACAAATACAAATTACTTTAGTTCCAAAATATTAACATATACACAGTTATTGGCATGGATACCTCAAAGTAATATATAATTTAAATTTAATGCTGATTGCAATTTGACACTGAGCAAAAAATATCATATGAATAAAATTGAATATGAATATAATATGATTAAAAAAAAAACTAACAAATTCAGCGGGCTGTCTTCACCTCTAATGTTTGCATTATTGCAAATTTAAGTATTGCTTATTTCTAGTATATAGTACAGTATACATCTTCCTAATATTTGCATTTGATTAGAGTGTGATCTATACACACTGGAGAAGATATAAATAATTACAGCATGGAGTTACACATGTTACACTAGCAGACCCAACAGACATTGTCCTGTAGGTACACATTACTTAAATTCGACAACAACTTATAAATAAAAAAAATTAACATGTAGTGGACCAAATTGTGAATCTAAATTGTTCTCGAATCGGCCTGAATAAACATAATTTTTTTTATTAAAATTGGTCCAGCCGTTTAGAAGGAGTTCGCACACGCACAGAACAATCATATATATTTAAAAAGTTATAGAAATCAGGATGCATTTATTTATTAATAACAACTTTAAAATTTAATGATTGGGCTGAATTTGGACATATTTGGTCGTTTGTTGCCAATGCTCATTGAACGCCTAACATTGATTCACGTGCAAAATTTTGGGACGGTATATGCATGACAATCTAACAGTAACCTTCTAATATTTATAAAGTAAACTTAATCTTGTTGTGGGAACCTGACACAGTTTTGATCAGTAATTGTTTTATACCATTTCTAATTGATTTAATACTGCGCTGTCTTTTCAAACCTGTCCAGTCGGTGCATTGTCAATTGTTGCAATGTGAATTTGTGTTGGTGCAGCGTACGCGACGCAGTGGGAGGAGCTGCTGAACGAGCAGCTGGTGGTGCTGGCGCAGAGCCGCGACCTGGCCGCAGAGTTCCGCGCCAAGATGCAGCAGGAGGAGCACATCTCTAGGCGCATCCAGCCGGCGCACCACTAGCCGCTGCCACCACTCACCACCACCACCACCACCACCGCCACCGCCACCACCGCCAACCCTCACCATCGCTGTACGCCGCGCTATGCTCCCCTTGTCGCCGGCTTTAAAAAGGGGTTTTTAACCCGTTACTCATCGGCGGACGGTTCATATCTGGGCTTCTGCGTTGCGAACTCCCGTTCGAATACTGTCGATGTTACGAACGCGGGACTAAAAACTGTCGCCTTTTTCTCTCCCTTTTCGCGTGGTTTTTTTTTTTCTGTTTTCATTGTACTCTTGGGATAACGTGTCTCCGAGAGTCTTCTGTCTAAAGTCTTTTTACTGATTCTCCGTTTAACCGTGTCTTATTGACTCAGGAGATAAAAGTGCGTTTCCTATTTATTGACAACGTTTTTTGCCGCCATATAATGGCGGAAAAGGCGAGCTGTCAAAAAAGCGCGGGAAACTTGCATGTAGTTGTGTGTAGCTGGCCTACTCAGCTCCGAAGACTCCGTTTAAAGAGTTTATATTCGCACCGAACGCATTAGCCTCGGAGATTCGTACCCGGAATAGTTTTTGCTGTGTTCCATATGATAAATAATATCTTCCTAGTTATATATTGGCATCAATGCTTAATGTAGTGGCGTATTATATAGTTTTACACAGAAGGTTGTGGGGCGCGGTGGTTGGGTCGGTGTAGACGATTTAAGCTTCAGTGCTTGAATCTCGCTATCGGTATTTGATATCTTAATGTCGGTTAGAGTTGAACGTAATTGTAAAATCGATTATCATCGATCTCCGCTGGGGATCTCAGTCCGGTCCGACGAGTCCTGAGTTTACTTTAGATTAAAATAATACTAATAGATGGTAAAAGGGCCACAACACGGCCCGATTGTAATTTATGCGCGTGCGTTCGTATAACAATAATTTTGTAGCGGCCGCGGTCGCTTTCGTTTTGTGAGCCTTATTTCAAATGGTCCCATTATTTTCAAAAACGGTGTACCTTTCTCCCTTAGTTTAGAATGATTGAGAAATCACGCGGTTCACTTATTTAATGTCCGTGGACCACGTGGTTTTTAATAATTTTAAAGAAAACACGACTTTGAAAGTGACAGGACCATAAACGTCTAACAATGTAACAATTCCCTAATTTCCTAACTCGTATGCATTTAACTCTTAAAGGCCTACTCGCGATTATGTATAGGTGGCGTACAAACTGCAAAGTAGCCCCTCCGGGAGGTCTCTTTGTCTGTTTGTCGACGGAGCCAGTTTCGTGTTTATGATGTAATTATCAAATTATTCAATACTCTTTAATGTTGTGAGGATGTTCGATATGTTTATGCGACGAATAAAATTGTGTTTAAAACCGAACCATTTCGCTGTTTTCTAATTATATATATCATACGTACATATACATAATATATATTGTAATATTGGATTGTTAGCCGATTGCGTTTTATGCGATGTTGAAATACCTCTAAGGTTTTTGATTTGAGTACGAATGTTCCACACTGCACAATGTGATGATAGCCTAATGATATATATATGCGCGATTTTTCTCCGTTTTTTGGCATGCCTATTTGTTTGTGAGGTAATATAGGCGTATAATCAGTTCCCACAAACAAAATTGCTTTGTTATGAATGAAACTTTGGCCTCAAAATTCTAAAGAGTTTGAATATTTAAAGAAAACTGATAGCAGCCGCGACACTTGCTTTTATGTAAAAAATACGAGTAGAACAAAAAAACATGTGTACATATAAGATCGATTCCAAAACTGAAGCCTGGAATAATGTTCGAGGAATGTTTTTAAATCGACACTATAGCATTTGAGTATTTATACAGATTTATTGACGTATTGTGTTAATTAGATAGTTTTCCCATGACAGCGTTTCTAGACGGTAACAAAAATGTCGGCACATCATTCGATGTAATTCCGCTGTGTACGATGAGCAGTGTCAAAACACGTCCTTTTAGAATATATAGATTAGTGTAAGTTTAGCGATCCTAGACTAAACTATAAAAAAATGACTATGGTACGATTAGAGCTGGGCTATGGGCCCATATTTATACAAGCTTTTTATAATCTGTCCCAGTTCGCGCGCCGTTTTGCCGCCATTTTTGCCCTGTATTGTATTCGGTGCAGGGAAACATTGGCGCGATGTCATTGTCGTGAACTTAATAGAGGTGTTTGAATTTGAGAATCGTATCTCGTTTGAGATGATCGAATTCTCTGGGAGGTGAATTTAAGAATGGTAATTAACTGTACCGGCTTTGCATATAGTACGCGGATTATTAAAAAAAAATCATTGTAAAATATTGGACAAGCGGTTGCGAAATTCCAAAATTACACATTTTTTTACATTACGTTGTTTCAATTGGGATAACTTAACTTGTGTAACTGTACCAGATAAATGTCTAATATTAGATGAAAAGAAATTTGATTGATCCAGCTTTTTACCATTTTTAACATATTTAGCGTGATTTAGGTTAAAATCAAATTCTGTTCCTTCGGGTCAATTTTGACTCACCATTGAAATAAATTCCTACACACGGATTAAAAATTGAAAAATGTTTATATTGTAAAAAAAAAAGAAAAATGTAAACGCACTTCTAAATAAATTCTTTGAAGAAACTGTCAATATATTTAATAGTGTTACTATTTAAATTGGATTCCTTTTTTTATACGTAAACCCGAATACGAAACGAGGATTAGTTTTGTCTTAAACCACTTCTTTTATGTTGATTTGTTATCTGAAATGACATTTTGAAAAATTATCAGTATTAAAAAAAGTAAACTATTATAGTACATATTAGAGTTATTAAAAACAAAGCTTTTTTTTATTTTTCTACCTAATTAATTCAAACGTTTGTTTCTTTATTTGAATTGCATGTTATATATATTTGCATACTAGGCTCAATTTAAACAGATCCTGTTTCTCATTACATATGCTGTTTCTTATTTTTTTTTTTTTCAAAAAATTACGCTAATGTTACCTTCAGAATATACATTACTTAACCGCAAGATTTGTTTAAGCATTTTATTTGAAACAAGCTTTTCTCTATTCCGCAATCTCATCCGTCGTTTGGGATTCTGTGTCCGTGTTATAATTAAGAAGTTTATTAAGACTGGTCAATGATTCACGGATTTCTCGTTTGTGTAATGTCGCTTGCGAACTTCGTCGATTCAAAGATGTCCAATTGAACGAAGCGCGATCCATTTCGAAATGTCTGCCGGTCGTAAATCGGTCTATTGCGAAGCTTAAACGCGCTGATTGGGTTGGAAGCGAATCGAGCGGAGACGTTGGACGTTAAATGAGTTTCGAAATATTAATTAATCGATAAGTAGTTAGAGATTTTTGGCGGGAGTTGAGGGCAAAGCAATTTACTTGCGCGATTTCTTGCCTTTCACAGCAGCGTTGGCGTCCGATTGCGCAATCGTGGGGTCATGCTTGATGTCGCCACGGGGTTCCTTAGATAGTGATCGTTGTTAAGTGGTAAAATCGGCCCTCTGTATCAGAGGCGCTGCGCCTATGACCTATTGTGCTGAACGAAACCTCTCTAAAACGCGTGTAAGACAGAGGGCGTCGTTGTGTCGTTTGTTTCGGCCTCTGAATTTGGTACTGTACGGATGTGGAGTGTTAAACGGACAACTGTTGCGCGGCGCGGCGGCGGTTCGTCATAGTTGAAATGCTTTATTAATGATAAACATATTTTAACATCGCACATTATAATAAATTAATCGAAATTGAACACGTGTTGTTTTATTTCTCTATACTTTATTTGCAGCGAAAGTTCTCTCCTCTCCACTCGACCTCGCCGTCTGGGACTGGGGTATGAAATGAAACTACAAATCAAAAACATTCCCAGCTGTATTCTTTATGTTTGTATATTACAAATATTTGTACTAGTCGTAAAAATGCAACAAACATTCCATCTATACAGCTAAATACCGCAAAAGGGTGAATAATAATTTTGGAAGACTTATTTATGTGTGAAGAAATAATCTCATGACTATCTAGGGCGGTTAGTCTGTAATACTGTCTTTATAGGCGATTGATGTTGTCAAAACAAAGGTACAGACGAGATCGTATCTACTTCCTAAATTCAGAGACACCATTTAGTCTAGATAATGGTAGACTGATTATAATCGGCTACAACAAAGTAGCCGACTGCTAACTAATTCGTAATGAAATAAATTTCATGTACCAATATGGAAATAAATGCTATGTGATGTGAGACTTCATTGTTTCACTCTGTTAAGACCATACCTTGACATTTAGTTATTTATTTTATTAGATATTTTTAAAGGTTATGTAACAACACATTTTACACCTGTTTGGCTACCATTTCTAAAGAGAATAAATAACGCAAGTTATCACAGGACGTTAAAAAACTTTTTACATTTTAAACATACAACTTAGATTAATTGAATTATATACATGGATTATCGATATTATATACACGACGACAGATCATAAAAAGGCAAGATTAGAAAATCCTCCAAAGGGATGCTAATGAATATATACAAAAGCAAAATGCTCTTTGGTTACCTACAGATAAAATTAATAAATGTACAGTGTTTCTATTATTCGTTCACTGAGGGCAATTGAAAATTTTTTGATTAGAAATGGACTAAAAATATTTTTTATTAGTATGATTGTAATTTCTTTTATGCATTTTTATCACCGTAAAAATTAAGTTCCGACTGTAATAGAGATATTGACACTTCTAGCAAGCCCAGGAGCAGAAATTGCAATGTTGTTATAAAGTATATCATACTACTAACATAATACTCCTTCCAATAAAATTTACGTCTTTTATTTAAAATCCAAACAATTTATTACCACTATCGATATACATAAGGCAATACTATTATACAATATTTACAACATACATATTTTACATTAAGAGATGTGAAAAGTTGAGCACTCACTCATTATAATATGTTTTAGGGATGGTCCCTATCATACAGACATCTTTTTTGAAAATAAGTATTTTTTTATTTCATTGCATATTGACGAAATAGCCATATTAATAAGAGAAAATTATGTGGCACTGGGCGGCTAATTTGATCGGCTAGCCAATGTACATTTGTTACCTAAGTTTTATTTTCAACACAAGTTGTATTAATTTCTTTTTACAAGATGATAAATCTCCTTATAGCATTTATTTTTTTGTATGTACTGATCTTGTGGCATATGTATTTCAATTATTTGTACGACCTTTAAATACCCATTTATCTAAAACAGACAATCGAGAGAAAACGTCGTAATGCAATGAAATGCACTTATGGCTAGATTTCTCTGAGGGCTAGACGAAAATATATTCTAGTAGAATAGTTGATTACGCAGACGTTAATGTGTATTTCATATTAATAATTGATTGTTTAATAAAATACAATTTGTGATAAAATTACCACGATATTACGGACCGAGGTAGTTAAAGCTACAGGAACATTGGATTTTATCGTTTTGGTCAGCACATGCCAACTGATTTTCTATTTAATTTCATAGTAAAATGTTAGTAAAATAAACAATTTTCACAGCTACCTTTATAACACCAATAATATAAGAAACACTTCAACCCCAGTGCACAGAGTCCCTTATCGTGTGACTACAAGCGAATAAACAAGTCGTTTTTACGTAAAAATAAGTCTAGGATCAACCTCTTTTTAGTATAGCCGCGTGGGCAGAGACCTTGGCTTGTGTTAATCCAAAAGTTATTACTAAAAAAATGGTTTAATAGAACCGAAACGTTGCTACGTAGAAGTGGAAGCGATCACAAGAGGTCATCTTCGAAGTCCTCGCCGGTCAGGATGTGCGGTTGGCCTATGGCAGGCACCATATGGCTGTATTCGCTGGTCGCCCACAAGTACAGGTTCAACGTGCGCTCGGTACACTGCGCTATGAATCTGCAAGTACGAAGAAGAAGCAAATAAATATTTTATGTAAATATGTTCTGACTCCGTGCTCCGCGGTGAAGGAAAACATCGTGAGGAAACCGGCATATTTTCGAAATAATAACAAAAAAAATATATTTCGAAGATATGTGAAGTCGGCCAACCCGTAGTGGGGCCGCGTGGTGGACTATGCCCTGATACCCTCTCTATAGAGGAAGGCCTTTGCCCAGCAGTGGGACATGTATAGGCTGTTACTTTACTTTTTTTCTTATGTTCTGACTCGACGTCTTAAATACGACAACTTATCACTACACAGTATAAAACAAAGTCATCACGCTGTCTGCCTGTCCCTATATACGCTTAGATCTTTAAAACTACGCAACGGATCTTGATGCGGTTTTTTTTACTAGATAGAGTGATTTAAGAGGAAGGTTTATGTGTATAATACATTGTACCCGTGCGAAGCTGGGGCGGGTTGCTAGTAAATAAAAAAAAAAATCATTAAAAAACATTTTTTAGTGTACCGAATTGTGAATCTAATCCATTCTTGAAACCACTTGAACACACAAAAAAAAATTCATAGAAATCGATCCATTTAGGGGGAGTTCAATCACAAACACGCGCGCACAGAAGAATTATGTACATACGAAATAATTATGTACATAAGAAAATCGTAAGCTTTTTTTGACGACCCGAGTGGCGAAGTAGTGGTAGGTCTGTTACGCCAGAGGGTGTGGGCTCGATCCCCATTACTGGAAGAATATTACTACGCTTGGAGAGTAAGCCCCGGTTACCTCGCTCAAAAGTACAAAAGTACAAATAACTGTATTATTTTATAAATTAACTGCGGAACATCCCGTAAGAGTCCATTCGCTTATGACGACAATATACTGTGCGTCGATATTTAAGTCCAAATATGTTATAGTATTCTCGTCGGGTTCGAACCTGACGAAGGGCCGGACGTCGCCCTCGTTGGCCGCCTGCAGGTGCTGGTAGTAGAGGTGGCGGTGCTGCTTGGCTATGATGACCGGCGGGTAGCCAGCCTGCATCAGCAGCAGGTTCATCAGGAGCCGGGAGGTGCGCCCGTTGCCGTCCACGAACGGGTGGATGTGCACCAGCTTGTAGTGCGCCAGAGCGGCGTACCTACCAGTACACAGTGCGCAAGATATGTTTTATTCCGCCACAAATTATACAGTTGTAACAAAGGCTGGCGGGCTTTCCGAACCCTTACGACCTGGGAACCTTCAAGAAGAGAGCACAATCTTTCCTCCAAAGCCGGCAACGCATTTGCAAGACCTCCGGTGTTGCAAGAGCTCATGGGCGGTTAATCATTTATCATCAAGTCTCCTGCTCGTTTGGCCCTTATTTCCATTAAAAAAAAGTTAACTGTGGTAGGGCCACGCAACAGTCTTCCATGCTGCATTGGCAGGTCTGTCCGGGTAAGCACCACAATCTCACAGAAGACCGGGGTGAAGTGGAAGTGTTATACTTCTGCGTTTCGTCTGATTATTTAGGTAGCCGGGGCCCACTTTATTAATAAGCGGCGACGCATCTGCAACCCTACAGGTGTTGCAAATGTCACAGAAACAGTTGTCACGGGTGGAAATCGAATCCACGGCCCCGGCCAATACTTTGGCAACTGTGTCACAGTGTCATTTTGTTTACAGGCTACTGATGTGATTGTGATAATTTTAGTTGCCTTCTTTGAGATTTTTGGTTGCCTTACCATGTATTCATTTGTATTTAATACAAACTGATAACTTATTTAACAGATTACAATAACTTCTCCATCTTTTAATCTCATCATGTAAATAACTGTGGAAAATATGTATTTTAAATCATTATTGTATTTTGTAATAATTTTATGCGCTTTAACAGAAAACTTCCAATTTTGCAGTAGATTTTCTTGCTACTCACTCACAGAAAATAACAATTTAGTAGTACAATATAAAAATGGGAATTTGTTATTGTTCATACAACATGATAATAAGTTTTTTTATTGCTTGAGTGATGCAAAATAACCTTGCCTTTCTAAATACTTAAATATATTCTTTATACTGTCATGTTACATCATTACATTCTGTGATAAATATGTCATGGTGTATAATTTATGCAGTTGTTTCTCGGACAACAATTATAAAATATTGTTTTATTATGTCCGCCTGTCTAAAGTTACAATATTTAGGCATACATGCCTTACCTCCAAACATAACTATCTCATTGAAATTGAGTGATAGCAGAACACTGTTACATAGATTATGAAGCCATATCAGTAATTAATTTGTAATTTGAGAATCCATAGAAATCAATAATGAATTAATATATGCCGGCCTGTGTAAAGACTAACAATGAATTTATTAATTTTGAAGAAGCAAAAGTTAAGAGAAGAGTTCCTTTTCCTATTTGGTTGAGTAAGAGAGGTTTGGATTTCGTGAAAAATTGTAAAATTTATTTTCTTATACCTACTTTACAGTTGAATTTTTACAGGAAACAAAGTCAATTATATATTTTTAATATTTGTAATAATATTTTTAGTCATAATCTATAAATATATTTATTGAATAGAGCTCCTACTGTAAACTCATGGTGATGGAAAATCAATTCTGATTCAAACTCTTGAATATTTAAGTATTCTATTAAAATATAATACTCACCTCACAGGATGCAAGTCCATTGCATCTTCTGAATTCAACCATTCAAGGAACTGTATCATCAGCCGCTGGATTTCTGATGGCCCAGGGGGAATATGGCCACCAACATAAACCTGAGTCCTTCTAAAATGACCCCCTTCCACGGGGTCCACATGACCTAAAACTCGTTTATGTATTTCTAGGATATCTCCCATGGTAATATCTCGCAAGCGGTAGAGTAATGTAGAATTAATGTATTTCATTGCTGCATCTAAGCCTAAAATTTCATTGTGCTCATCAATACTCTTCCCCGCTACAGCTATTCTTGTTTCCAGAACACTCCGGGTTTGTTGTAATGTCATGGTATTGCCCTCTATGCCGACTGTATGGTATATATGTTGGAAATAAGCCTCTTTTTTGGCTCTTCTTAATGCTGAATTGTTTTCTGGTATGGACGATAGCGCATCTCGTTTCTCATCAATTTTTCTCAACATTTCTCTGTCTAAGTTTTCTACTATGCTTGCTGTGCGTTGTCTGTTCATGAGTGCACCAGTATGGTCAGGGAAATTTGATAATGCTAAAGTGTATAACTGATCAGCTTTAACAACATCCTTCTTTGTATCCTCTAAGAACTCCCCGTAGTGATTCAGTATATCTGCATGTTTTGGGGATAGGGCAAAAGCGTGTTGGAAGAGTTTAAGTGCTTTATCTGTTTTGCCATTTTTCTTCATTTCCAACGCAGCATTAAGTGAAACAACAGCTTCTGCGTCACGAGTTTTATCGTAACGTTTTAGAGTAGGAGGCGGAGACTCATCGACGACAGGCTCTATATGATTTCCGTACAGGCCCGCAGGAATTGGAGAGAACGGTTTGATTAGCTTTATTTCGTAACTGAGCAGCCTGTGCAATGAAATAACCACTGCCAACGTGCAAACCACACTCGATAATATTAAAACCGTTTTGCATCGATCTAAGATCATTTTGGTATGAAAATTACTTTTTTGAACACACTTCATCTTTTCACTTTGCTGCGATCTACCTATAAACAACATGACTGCAATTATTTGCAATCAGTAAAGCGTTGGTTATCGTATTAATCTTCACGAAAGACTGTATACTCGATTCAAAATTCATCGTGTATTGCAAATAAATTGGTAATTGCAAATCGAAACCAAACACGTAAGGCCATTTTTGACAGGTATCAGATGTGAGATGTGACTAATGAGTAATGTCACATTTGATTGTCAAATGGGTTTTACTCCGTTGCACGCATTGCGCATTTATTAGAAACTAAGTGAAATTGTTATGAAAAAAGTACAATGCGCGTCGGCATATGGCTGCCCTATCCAACGTGGGTGGGTGCTCAAGCGAAACCAATCTGGTTATTCCAAAGCGTTTGATGAAGCATTAATTAATAGATTATATACTAAAAGCAAGAACATAGGATGTGCAAAAGAAATTGTGCATGAGAGGCCCAGTTTCCGAAAGGCCAATCAAAGCAGCAATCACCTATCACTATGTCAAAAATGATCAGTTGTTAATCTCTTGTTAAACTGCCTTGGGTTTCTGGAAGGTTTTTTCTTGAACAAAAATTAGCTAATCACTGTATAACCAATGATAATGAATGAAATGAATGATTTACTTCAACTAACTCTTTCTATTGTATAGCTGTCTCTTTTTAAACAAAACTTAAATTAACGTCACTATCCAGTCCTGTCACCGTGTCATTACCAACGTAAAAATCCGAGCTATAATAAAATTTAATTTATATAAATACATGCAAAATGTCAAAAAAAAACTTTACAGAACGTAAAAAAAATGTACTTTTATCCATAATAAACAAGTAAGTATTATAAAAAGAAAGAATCCATATTATTTATTAACTTTTGAATTGCATTTTTTATTTTTTCTGATCACATGATATGTTCGCATAATAATAAATAATAAATAGTTAATAGAACACATGAATGTCCTAACAACGTATTAGGGAATTATGTTTATTTTTAATAAAAACTAAGATTTTTGATAAATAACATTTTTAACCAATGATTGATCGTCCAAATTGACAGATTACTTAATAAAACTTTTGACAGCTCGTTGACCACCGAAAAGCGCTTTTAGAAACTCGATTTTCTGTTGATTGTTCGTTAATCAGTGACTAATTGCAAATCAAAATCAATGTTGTTTAAGACGTTCTAGCAACTCAGATCATGTTAAACAACGATTGACAAGAGATTTATCGTAAATTAAAATTGATTGCGCTTTCGGAAACTGGGTGCTAATCTTATGTCAGTCAGCGGTTCATAAGGGTTCTGCAGTGTCTCTATCGCCTTAAAAATTTCCTACCGACTTACCGACTCGGACGGCTTTCCTGCATTTTTTATTCAATCCGTCTTAGTTATCTCCGTGATTTCGATACCTTTGTACCAAAAACAATAAGAATCTTTGTTCGACGAATAATCGTTTTCTCTAATGTCCTTCTCACCGTTCTGATCTTTTGCACTCTTCTTTCGTCATCTTCTTCTGCGGAATCGCTACCTCTAGAAATATGAATGGCCAAGTGTCGCTTCGCATTTAAATGATATAACGGAAGCATAAACACAAACAGATATAGAAAGAAAATGTAAGCAGAAACTGAACCAGAACGAATCTGCTTACTTTTTTTATGTGAAAAGTGGCCAAGCGAGCAGACGGTTCACCTGATGTTAAGTGAATACCGCCGCCCATGGACATCTGCTACACTCGAGTGTTCCAGATGGGTTGTGAACCTTTTGAAAATTGAGCTCTGGCCACCTCACTCACTAGACGGAACGCGGAAGTATTATACTTCCACTTTACGCCGGTCTTCTGTGTGGTCGTGGTACTTACCTGGACGAGCCTGCCCATTCGTGCAACAAACGAGGTTGCTAAGTGGCCCTACCACTGTGATTTTTTGTTTTTACGCAATTATTATACCTACCTGGTTAAATTAAAGTATTTTGCGAACCATATCATGTCTTGATTTAATTTTTGATTGCCGACGTTTCGAACTGTCTTCAGTGTTCATGGTCACGGGACAAAATGTGTCTGTATCTGTCTGGAAGTAAATCTAATCCGTAAAATGGTTTCATTCAACCATTAAATATTTATATCTCTGTATAATTAACATTTGCCAGATAGAAGTGTCCTGAACGTCCTGAAGTGTGTGAACTTATTGCATATCGTCATCATCATCATCATCGTCAACCCATATATGTCCACTACTAGGCATAGGCTCCTCTCTCTTGCACCATTGTCCCCTGTCCTTAGCGGATCACATCCACGTTTGTCCTGCGATCGTTATCAAGTCGTCGATATAGTAAGTGCAAATGGTAGAGTTATTTTTTTTTTAAACTTTAGTTTGAACATTTTCAATGAATGTACGATAATGTAACTCATAGAAAATTTATTTAGAAATTTAAAATTTTTATAGTGCTAATCATAAATGTAATGAGTTCGATTTCTTCAGCGATGTAAAATTACGTCCTTTTTTCTACGAATTCTTATGTTTCATCTTAAGCGTATAGATTAGCACTATAAAAAATTATTTTGCCATAGCGACATCTCTCGATCGAATTATCGTTGTAAAAAGATATTGTTTGTATGCTGTAAAGCATATAATAATAGATGCGCCAAGTATTGCTTGAAATCCAAAAAAAAATGTACATAAAAAATCATGATGTTAAAAAACAATTGCAATTAGACTCATATTTACTCTACTTTTCAAAATAACATACCTTTCATTGCTAAATACAATTCGCATTACAATATCCACTTCGTGACTGATTACGGTACAGTGAGAAAAAAATGGTCATTCGTAAACAATGTTGCACTTCATTAAGAAGTTTATTTAAGCAGATTAGTATTTGCATGGCTAAGTGCATATGAATTTTTTATTAGGTAATGTAAAATCATTTTGGCACCTTATCAAGGGTTATTATAAGACAAAACCCAAACATTAATTATTTCCTATCTCATCTCGATCCACCGTCTCAATATATAAAACGAAGTGATTTTCCGCCTGTAAGCGCCCATTACATAAGTAATTAAGGTTAAATGGAAAGGAAAAAAAAACAACACAAACTGAATACATAGTTATTTTTAGTCGTTTTATTTTACACGAAATCTCAACATTCTCTCGAATAAATAACGATATCTTACACGTTAACATTCAGATCATCGATATGAGCTAGTATCTAGTGATTATATATTGCTACGTTCGTATAATATAGTACAATTGACATCTGCATCCAGTATTGGCAAACTGCTCGACCGCTTTATGAGGCTATGACAGCGATCGGAAGGGGGCCCAGTGGACTCCTCTCAACACATTACATAATAAACTGCGACTACGACCACACAGCGTTCAATGCTGACTAGATCCCGATGCACGACGGTATAACGCGTTTCAACTAAGAATAGGAACCTCAAGGACCTCGAATGACCGCGATCTGTCATCTGTATTTTGAAAAGTATGGCTTGCGAAGAAAAATAATTTTCCACTTTGAAGAATATAATTACATATCTAAAAAGTATTACCAAATCTATCAGTCATAATTATTTTTAAAAATGAAAAAAAAAAATAGTTTTTAGTAAAAAAGGTATTTAAATGCTTATTTTTCTTTTAAATAACAGTCGGTGGAATATTTCGAATAATTAATTACATAAATACATGTTATGTTTTTATAGCGGATTTAATTTGTTAGATTCCGATTAAAACTATTTCTTTCATGAATTTAATACAAAATTTATTTGTAAATAAACAGGTGCCGTGAGGTCAGTCATATTCCTTTTTTTTTTTTGATATTATGGCCCGGTATCAAGGTCTTAGTAGTCGTATTCTTATTTGAATCGCATTATAGAAAACAACACCGTAGACGATAGAACACGACACCATAGACAATCACCGCTGCAGTCAGCTGCCAGTGCTTGGTAAGCTTAATCCTACCGAACAATGTCGTTTCACTTACGACATCCATAAAATCCTTTGGTTTCACAGAATGTGTTGACGTTCGCGGCAAATTGCGCTGCCTTTTCGATACACGTCTTCCACAATTGTTTCGCATTGGCGACTTACAAAAAGTAATACTTAACAACTAGTTAATTTTTACACTAATCGTATGGCATTCCTGTAATATTATCATCAAGGCAACACATATTTGCCACAAACTATGATCAAGCAGCTTCGAGTCAGTTTGGCATCGGCTGCTGATTGATATTTAAAAAAAAAAAAATAAAAAAAATGACAAAAATTACAATTAAAATTGGCAAGAATACATTTGCCCTAAATTCCTATGCAATTCGAAAACAACATCATTTTTAGTAAATAATCTATTTTAAATTGTAAGTGCCATACTAGTCGAAAATGTATTTGAAATATACATATTAGTTTTTCTATCGATTTTACACGTGGTTTTATAAGAAATATGTGCGACCAGCGCCTTGCACTACAAAAGAAAAATGATTAATTATTAAATAATACTAAAACACTAAAAACATACCATGAAAATACAGACCTCACAGCCTGAATCGGAACTAGTCAAATATAAAACTGTTATCGTAAAATGCATCCTTTCCAAGCTTTCTACTTTTAAATTCTTAATCACGCACCATAACTGTTAGCGCATTTTCATGTTAAGAAATTTCCTTATTAATGTTACGAAAATAGGGGTTAACATTCCTCTCATAATCCGTTTGAGTATGTTATATTAAAGGGATGATTGAATTATAACAAAATTTAATTAGATAAATTCAGTTATATCGTTTACATATTCTTTTATGTACGCTTAAAGAAAACACATAGGAAAAAAATATAAGAGGGATTTAAAAATGACGAAAAATATAAACACATGCTTGTAGTAGTTTCGTCACTATGTAATCCAAAACACTTTCTTCTTTTTAGTTAATATAAAAACTTGAACGTCACATAAATAATGAAATAATTATAATTGTTATAGATCTACGTCTTGTTGGTTTCCATACAGACAATTAATCATTCGTTAAACCGCCCCTTTTTTTCTTTAATGTGTTGTATGTCTTTTCTGTATTGAAATTACAAAACCTTTCGACGTGTTGAGTTTTAAGGTTATTTTTTTTAGGCGCATGTTTAATGGCACATGGAGTCTACGAGTATCATTGTGGAGTAGAACGAGCAACCGAGAGTTATCATGGTGCCCATTGCGATCGTGGAGTGAAAGGCACGGAAGGTCTTAAGGACGCGGAGATAGCGCGGACAATGGGCCAGTTCGCCGAGGATCAAGCGGCCGACCTGAAACAAGAAAAAGGCATAATTATGGTATATGGTACATTAATAGGGATGTAATTATACGGGTATTATTTTTCAAGTCTTTTGTCTTCTTGTTCTACTAACTCTTTTGATCGCTGACTAAAACATAGCAATAATATAAATATGTAGTCTGGCATCGAATTTGTTATGAGATTCATTAGTAACTTGGTGTAAATTTCCGTGATAGCTCATTGTCTGGGCAATCCCTTCTAATTCAATATTGACTAAAAGAGCAACTTACTAGCAATAATATAAATATGTAGTCTGGCATCGAATTTGTTATGAGATTCATTAGTAACTTGGTGTAAATTTCCGTGATAGCTCATTGTCTGTGACGTAAGAGTTTGTCAGAGTCGAATTGGTAAATCACACTTTTGTGTTAATTTTAATAATATTAACATTTTAGGTTCCTGCTAAACCTTATCAATATATTTTGCAGCGTAACTTCAAGACTATAAAATAAAATGAAGATAGTGGTTTATTAAAATATTATTAATAAACAACTACAACAAGTACTTAAATATTTTAAAATTCAAGGACCTTTTTATATAGCACCAGTTTAATAAATTTATACAGATTTAATGCCCCACTAAAAGCTAAAACGTACAAAAAAATTTTTTTCAAAAATAAGGTCAGTTGAAATAGGTACTGGTTTACACTACTATAACAGCGGATATTTTTAAGGTACAACAAATCCGCCTTGAACTACTGTTAGAGCCCGTCATGGTCTCATGAGAATTGATACAGCTCCTGTCAAATCAATGCCGGGTTGGCTTCATCATTTAAACGCCACTGCTGAGGTCGCAACATGGCCTTGTTGTCTAATCTAGTGAAGTCCGATTTCGCGGTCATTATATACAAAATATATTACGTGCATTACGGTATACAACATTTATTGTAACTGCTCATCAGTCTATAGTGTAAGAACTAAGTACCAGGAGAAGATATTTTATGACGATGACTCCAAAATCATCATAAGTTCTGCTTTGAATAATAAACTAGAATAGTAGGGATACAAATCAGTCTTCACTGACAGGTGAAGCAGGTCCCTCCGGGGAAGCACCACCTCACAGAAGGCCGGCGTGAAGTGGAAGTGTTGTTTAAATGGCAACGCATCTGCAACCATACGGGTGTTGCAAATGTCCATGGGCGGCGGTTATCACTTAACATCGGGTGAACTGCCAGCTCGTTTGCCACCTTAAATCAAGTTATCAACACTATAGTGTAGACTGTGTTGCTCTAGAGTTGTGCGTTTGTGTACATAGCGAATTGTGTAATCACCTCCTGGCCCCCGCCCGCCGCCTCCTCCATCTGTGTCTTCACGTGCTTGGCTCGCAGCATCGGCTGCACGAGACGCAGGCGAACGTATGCCTCTATGCTGAACACGGCTAACAGAAGCGCTAGCTGCAAAAACGTCGACAATATTAAAACTAATACAACAAACAACCGACTTCGAAAACGGAGGCGCAACTTTTTTCTGTTTGTCACCTTTGAATGAATTGGTTAATAAAAATGGTATCACAGATAGTTTACGGTTCGATTCCGGATCGTGGTATTTTTTCGAAACACCAAACAAAGTTGAGCGTAGGCGACAATTCGAAGCAGAAGGGTTTCTTAGACAATCTTTTTCTTTTGAACAAAGATAGTCTAACAGCCTATTTCAATATCGATAGATATCACCACGATCTGAGATAAATATCAATCCAAGATTAGTTTGACGTCTTGATTGATCTCCAATCTGCTTTCCAATATCACCGATGAACGATTTAACAACAGATCGTAGATATTTTCCTCCGTAACGTTCCCTTTTAACTGACTTTATAAAGAGGTTATAATATCAGCTGTGAGATATATTGATGTTCACATCGGTTATATTTGAGAAGAAAAATCCATGAAGCAGCATTCATCAAGCATCGCAATTAAGAAAAAATATTTTACCAAATATTTATGTCAAGGTTCACAGACAAGATATGTAATAATGATTTTCGGTTCGATAATTAATCATATATATATATAAGTAAGAGGCTCTTGCCCAATCATTAGATATTAATATAATTATAATCAAGCTTCAGAAAGTAAAGACTGACCTTGATTGAATTGCAACTGTGAATTAATGAATCTATACTTATTTTTGCGCGTCTTATGGCATTGGCTGAATTACACGCATTTGTTGGGGTCGTTTTGCAACCACAATTATTATCTGTTGCCGAATGAATAGAAATCGAATGAATATAGATTTAAAAACTATTGTCCTTGGAAAACTCGTCGATCACGAAGATGATAATACCTACTTGGTTTTTTAAACGTGGTTAATGTTGAAATATATTTGGAAGGTGCCATATTTTCGTGCATTGAACTTAATGCCGCGAGGAAGAGAGGGCACGCTCAGTTAATTTGGCACCGGAACAAAGGTCACTGCCTGTCGGTTAGTGCCAAGGTCTCAATTAACGCGTTGTGAACGTACCTTTCCATTGGGGTTTGTTTCTAGGTCATTTCTATCAGCTTTTGGTTCGTATTAAAAATAAACTCATAGGTATAACGTTATAATTTGATTCGTACTTAAAATAAAGGTGAGATAATCAATTATAGGAACCTATTTTTAACATTTGTTAACTTGTACTTACTTTGTTTTAATGCATTTTATCCCGATTTTGGACACGAGACGAATCACAAGCAATTTAACGCTTCATAAAAAGTAAATATCGTTTCGTCATGGTTTATTTTTCTTTTGCAGTTATGGAATTGTACGGTTTAATTCGGAAACGGTTAAAGTATTCTCGCCTTACTGTTTAATAATCCGTCCATTATTATTAAGGTCAATAGCATTAATCGAAGTACAAAGGACAAGGTGAGGCTGTGCCAAGCGCCGGCTTTTATGTCCAATTCACGTCATGATGGCGATAAAATTTTAAATTATCGAACAAAATTAAACTTTTGTCCTTGCCATATGTTAACAGCAAACGGAGAAAACTCATTTCATCAGCTTTCTGTCATGTCATTTTCATTTTATTTTATGAATTTGTTATCAAATTGAAACAGAATGCACACACAACAGTACGAATTACTACCAACTACTTGACACGCCATAGGCAATTCTCATACAAAGGAATAAGGTGTATTTAGGATAAGATGAATAGGGCCATGGTATAGAAAGTCTAAGAGCATAAGGTGAATGTATAGATAGTCATAAGGTGTGTTGTACAAGATTTGGAATGAGTTGCAAGTTAAGAATACACTTTTATAGTGTAGTAGTAAACCAGGCGTACCCTTTAAGTCGATTTATTTTTTATTTTTACTTAAGATCGAATTAAAAGTATAACATTAAGTATGTAGATAAATTAACGATAAACTTTTCGCTGTTGCAAGGATCCGACACCTGCGCCAATATACGGCAGTATTAATTTGACGAGTGATTTCATAGTGATCCCTTTCATTCACTGTATCGGTTTATAAGTACAGTGAGGAACACATATCGTAAAAAAATAAAGAAGAAAATGATAATAGAAAATATTTTCTCATCTCATGAAACACATTCTATATCATTTATCAAATATCGGAGATCATTTATTTACTTGAATTTAATAGGGTTGTAAGTTGATCGTACTTACAACCCTATTGAATGCTCGCGAGAACTAACTTAAAATTAGGTAATTTTGAGTAAGTTCTTGCAGACAATGGTATTCGAGATGGTACACTCAACGACAGGGACTGTGCACCTTTTTCGGTCTTAAGATGGTAGAAAACTAAAGCGTTCTGAACTCACCTGTACCCAGGAAGTGTGCTGGAACTGTGTGAGGGACTGGGTGCGGAAGTACGCCAGCAGTGCCAGTAGGCTGACGGTCGCGTTGAAAGCGTAGTACACAGGGAACAGGACCGTTTGCACGCGGCCGAACTCGTGACGGGGCAGCGAGAAGTACAACACTATTCCTGCGGGGAGGGTGGAGACAATCAGCGAAAGTCAACAAACCAAGAGTCATCTAAACCATAAAAGTCCGTTGCGCATGGTCTTCTTTCTATTTTTTTTTATGTGATAAAGTGGAAATCGAGCTGGCGGTTCACCTGATGTTAAGTGATAACTGCCGGGTTGCAAATGCGTTGCCATCTTCAAATAAAGTGGGCCCCGGCTACCTCACTCACCAGACGAAACGCAGAAGTATAACACTTCTACTTTACGCCGGTCTACTGTGAGGTCGTGGTACTTACCTGGACGGATCTGCCCATTCGTGTAATATAAAAGACCGTTGCGGGGCCCTACCATTGTTGATTTTTGTTGTTATTTGACTCTCGTTGTATGTTTGTGGAAAATTATTGAGTGAGTAACACTAAACTGCGCCCAGCTTATTATCGCGCTCTTTTATTGATAACCTAAAAGTAGTAATGTTTCGTAGCGGTGATCATTTATCATAAGGTGAAACGATCGCATTTTTGCCGTTTTCTCTTTAAAAAAAACGTGTCGTATGAGGTTTTTATGTTAAATATTCAAAGAGAGCAAGCCGTTCACCTGATGTTAAGTTGTTACTGAGCTCCATGTACGTCTAAATATCTGAAGGATTGCAGATGCGTTTTCAACTTTTAAAACCAGTGGGTCCCGGTTTCCTACTAACGAGACGAAACGTAAAAGTATACTTCTATTCGATTCTAGTCTTCTGTGAGACCACGACCTCGTTAGATGAGGCCGTTTATTCGTACCACAGCGGAAGCTGAAGTTATCGATTTAATTGATTTGTACGCAAAGAACGTACCGGATAGACAAGACATCTCTATCTCTGTGTGACCGTCACGTAATATATTCGTAACAGTGTACAAGGCGTAGAACAAACACATCATTAAAAAAGGTCAAATCAATAGCACCCGGAAAATTGATATAGTAGCTCTCAATTGTCCCGTGCGCGGGCAATTTGCGAATTGGGACAGCCACTGAGTGTGTGAACAGGCGGAGGCAACGGTCGACCGAATGAGCAGCCCGAAAGAACGTCTGTCATACTAGTTATGGCCCGAGGGATCGCTCGTGATGAATTTGGATTTTCCAAATTCATCACATACCATACCATAGATCTCATTTCGTTCGCACAAGTTCGTAGATTGGTTGACATAAGGTCAATGTGCCGCTCTTTATATGGTCATAGCGTGAAGTCGTGTAAAGTATAACTTACGACAAAAAAAAAACAAATACCTATTTATTTGGAATGAACAAGTATCTACTTTCTAAATAGGACCAGTGATTAGATCCTGAGAAGAGGTTGCTGAAGCGTATACACTTTGAAATTTGAATCAAATTATCGTCGAAACGATAAAGTAACATTGACCATTCCAAGAATAACACATGTCGAAAATAAATTGTCTGTGGAAAATTCTTGACACATTCCCACGTGTCAGGTTTTTGCGCGGGAAACAATAATGGTGTTCCATAGCGACATTACATCATATTGCATGGAACTTAAATAAGAGGCCCATAAAAGCATTGGCCAATTCGTAAGAAAATTGAAACAGTTCCCGCTATTAACCGTATTTATGTCCGGTATTCTCGACTGCTAATTGCATGCGGACGTGACTGGAAACGGAGATGTGCCTTCAATACGCGGAACCATATTTAGGAAGTTTTGCGGTACGTAAAAATTTCCAAACTTATTGGAAGTTTGTACAAGACTGCTAAAGTTATTTGTGAACTTTGTGTTGTTGTTCGATAAATAATTGTACACGTGTCATTAAAATATTTATCATAATGGCCAAGTTTCGGGGTTATTGATTCGAACACATAAATACACACGACATAAACATAACTTAGAACTACCTAAAATCAGGACTTTGTATGGACAAAGAAATATACAGTTTAAAGGAGCTCAGCTATATAATAAGTTACCACCCGATGTCAAAAATTGTTCCTCTTTAACGAGTTTCAAAAAAAAAAATAAAAATGTTTTTAATGGAAAGTTAAGCAATAACTCCGATTATCCACACTTTTTAAATTGTTATTTAACATGTACTATGTAAAATTTTCTCAAAGTTATTTCTTTGAACCTAAATCTGAAGCTACATATTTCTTATTTCGAATTTATTCTGTGCAAAAATCAATGTCATACATGTTCCCATACTTACGGTGTCGAGCATAGTGTTTCTTAATTCTAGGATTTACTAAGCGTAATTAAAGATGTATTATTTATTACACATTATTATTTATTATATTAAACATTATTTGTTATAAATTATTACAATACACATGCATTCGACGTTACAATACAATATAGTCAACATATAGTTATTGCAACATAGAGTAATCCTCAAAAAGAGCTAAAAATTGAGTTAATTATAAATTCGTGATTTGACCAGGATTAAAATTATTAATGTCATAAGAAATCCTATGTGCCATGATAATCGAGACATCGCTATTTACTTGTTAGTTGTTGCCGCTTTAGCTTATATTGAGTGGAGGGTTATAAATTCTTGAAAGCATGCAAACAATTGTATAATTTCGAAACCACTGGAGCGTCTCGAGTTGTACTCACCGCCTCATTTGTCGTTCGATAAGAAACAAGAACAGAACTTGATTCGAGTGTGTTGTTAACCTAATTGTTGCGATAGTGATTGGGAAATTATTTTACATTGATAGGCTTGTTTCCATAAGAGGCTTAATTTTCCTGTTCTTCATTGTTATTGCTTTGAAGAATTACCTTCCGTATTGCGATTAAACATCAATTGCATCTTTGCTACATTGATAACGTTTTTATAACTTATAACTGTAGGAATATATGTAACTAACGTACCAGAAATGGAGTTAAAAACTATACCCATAATTTTTTATATTAGTTATCGTAGAAAACTATTAAAAAGGTAAGTATGTATAGGGGGGAACCTGATAAATTCATTTAAATTTCTCTGCTACAAAGCAATTTATACAAACGTGTAAGATACACAATGGAAATGCAAAAAGTTCGTTTGTAGTTTATAGTTATATGTGCTGGAACGCCATCTTGTTTTTGTGTTTTTAAGTTCTGTGAATTCAGCCAAGGGCGTAGACAACACGACGGCAGGACGTTGACCCTTAATAAGGGAACTTTTTACTTGAAGGGGAAGAAAGAAATTGCTTTCAACATTGTATATAGAAATCATGTTTACAAAGCTCACATTTATATTATAAACAACCGATGAGTAATCATTTCAATGGAAAATAATCAGATATGAACAACGATTCCAGGTCATTTTGAATATCACGAGTTTTGGAGCAAAAAAAATAGTGTGATACATAGACAAGAGTGTCGTATGGAGAACCAAATACTTTATCAGTAATTCAATATTTTGAATTGCCATTTATTAGCTCTAGAGATTTTTGTAATAGGCAATCGTTGGTTTCTGACCAAGATTTGTATATTCTTTTTGTAACTGATCGGGGAGAGATGTAAAGTAAATCGGATTCTAAAATTCATTCGTTCTTAAAGGCGCCACTACAACAGTAAGGTACTGTGTAGGGTCACAGTACCTTACTGTATTAGTTCAACTGATATAAGATTAAAGTATTCCTTTTAGAAAAAACATAATATTTGTATTTGTACCTACATGCTCTCATGTCTTAAAGGCAAAGGTTACACTCGTTTTCAGACTTCTAAATCCCGAAGCGTGACAGATGGTAGGGCTGTCACAATACGAGACGGTAATATTTGTCACTTGACAAAAGGGTACCAACCAGAAACTAGTGTCATCCATATCTGGGCGCCGAGGTGCGTAGCAACGGCCGTGACGTAGAGCGCCCTCCATCCCCTTAGGTTGCTTCCGGACCCAGGTCTCGTCAGCCACACCAGCACCACCAGGATCGCCAGCGCTATGTGTAGCGGCTGAGGGGTTTTCGTCGCGATGCTGCGAAATAAATGTTACGATGAGAAACCATTTTAAGAAGTCTTGGTGGTTTGATTGGGTGTCGTTATTTTAGTCCGAATAGCTTCTACTAGTATTTAGTATTTTGTGCCTCGTGGTTCAACAACCATCTATTATCGTCAGGACCTATTTAATTCGGAAAAGGCGCGAGGTGTCGCTGTCTCCTCCGTCTGGGTATATAACATTTATAACAGTTTATTATAACGACTATAATTAAGACATGAAACGGTGAGTAGCAATTAAGTGTAGAAAATCTTTATATATTTTAAATTTAGCTTCCGTATGTTTGTGTCCACAAAAATCCAAAACTGGTCGATGGATTGACTTGATATTTGTTCACAAAATAGCTTTTGAACAGGGCCTGTTTTTATATTTTTATTCCGAAGTTCAAGCGGAAAAGAAGAAAAGAATTACCCTGAAGCGTGGTCGGGTTTAGCTAGCTTTATATTATATCTACGTATTTACAGGCATGTTATTACTATAGATATCAATAAAGTGACTGTATTGATTTCTTGTTTTACGCGAACATTATATACACAAGACAGACTCTGTTCTCTCTTTCGACTACTAAAAAAGTAGTTTAATTAAAAAAGACTTCTATTCTAGAGGAAGTGTTTATTTTATTTATTTTTTAATAATATTTAGAAACGCTTTACAAATATCTTTTTGAAAACCACAAACCGATATCAATCATGCGGTATGGCATTTATAAATTTATTTATTATTTGTATTGTAAAAGCAAATACCGATGATGCAAACAAAATGGAATGGGACCAAGCGTTAATGCAAACTGTAAACACAGACATGACTTGAGTAAACTTCAAAACAACTCTTGTTGGCTCTCCGTAGACATTGATTTGCTTAGTGCAGCGTAACAATATCGTCGAGGTGACTTCTTAAACGTTTGCCCATCGTGAAGCGATAACCAAGATACGAGAAAGGACTAAACGCTCAATAACAATTTACTTATATCAGTGAAGGCTTATATGATTCGTCAACGAGCGATCTCGCGAACAGATTAGCGAGAGCCCGATCAGCTTATAACTGATAAGTTACGTTAACTCGAATCGCAAGCATCACGTTGTATATTTACAAATGCGTATATAAACCACTCATAATTTTACCCGTACGTCGTTTTTTTATGTGAAAAGTTGTCAAACGAGCGGACGGTTCACCTGATGTAAAGTGAATACCGCCGCCCATAGACATCTACTACACCCGAGGGTTGCAGATGCGTTGACAACCTCACTCACCAGACGAAACGCGAAAGTATTATACTTCCACTTTACGCCGATCTTCTTGACGTCGTGGTACTTACCCGGACGAGCCTGCCCATTCGTGCAACACCCTAGGCTGCTGCATGGCCTAACCACCGTTTTTAAAGATACTAATCAACTTTAAGGAGTAAATTAACATGTCTTATGCTCATTACACGGTTACAACGATCATTTTAACATCTGATAGATAAATCACAGCATTCTAGAAATTATCTCTTGGTCATATACATATATAATGTTTGAAAGCTGTAATTTTATATCACATTCGTGAATACTAAGTTCTTTATAATTGAATTTCACACGTCCATGCAGGTCCTTTTATTTTTTGACGTTTTTTAACATTGGCCTTACTGTAGGATAACATCTTGTGCTCTAATGACGTTTTACAGATATAAATTCCACGTGGAGAAACACCCAGAGCCGAAACGATTATCTGTGGGTCACACATAGTTGTTCCGTGTGGGAATCGAACCTACGAAACCCCGGTGCCGAAGGCAATACAGTGCTTACTGCGCCACAAAGTCATTATGGATATATCGAGAGTGGACTCACGCTAATATGTTTGTTTAATCGCTCGTGGTTTGTAGATAACAAATTGTAAAAGTATTGACTTATATAAGTGAAGTGAATTGCCATTGAAAGGTTAAGTACCCGCTCTTATGTCACAGGCACGATTTGCAAAAACTTAAGGATTTTGCACGAAAATATTGTTAAGTAACTAAGTAAATGAATGTCGTCGAAGAACTAACGACACCTCCAACAACCTCACAATTGACAATCGGGGATTGATGAGTTGATAAAGAATTCTTTGTGTGTTTACTTTGTTTTCTGCAGCTTAAAGCCATAGAAAGAGCCAAGAAGAAAGAAGAAGGAAATAGCAATAGAGGATGGAGTCGAATGCGTAGGTCTGACCAAGTTAGCTTCAAAATAAAAATTGCAGTCTGCTACGCCATCCATATCGTCATGGCTATCGATTCTGTAGTCACATATCTTTTTATATTTAGTGACAAGATTTGTTATAGGGGTCAGATGCAGTAATGGCATGGCATAGTATGCTGGACAGATTATATGTTATTCGTCGTAAGCTATACTCAACTTGATATTAATCCCATTTGCATACAGTTGGAAGGAAGAATAAGGCTACTGTAGCTTACACGTTTGTCCCAAGCATTATGAAAAATTAGGAAATTACGAACTAATCTCCTCTACTAAGGAACTAAGGCCCTCACTCCCCATCAGGTTCACGTACCAAAAATATGCCTAAAACTGAGAAACAAGTGAAATGCTTCGTATTTGTTCGTCTCCGGTTTGCTGCTAAATTTATGCTTCCTTGCTGTATCCTATAAGAGCCGTGATAGCAGTGTCTGGGAGCTCGTTTCTAATTCAATATACTCAAAGTACGTAAATTCGGCTAATCCGCCATCGGTCGTGTGATGACTGATGACCTAATATCCATTGCAGAGGGAAAGCTTTTGACCAGCAATGGGACATTTATAAGCTGTCAAATCGTTTGCGGGTCTATAAATTTCTTCTCGAAACAAGACTGAATTTTACTAAACGTTTTGACTTTTGACTTTCAAAGATGTGATGACTCCGTTCGCAGTTCTCGCGCAGTTGCCCAGGTATTGGCTTCGGCGACAGGGGTCGTGGGTTCGATTCCCACACAGGACAACTGTTTGTGCGACCCACAGATAGTTGTTTCGCATCTGAGTGTTTGCCCGCGTGAAATTTATATTTGTAAAAACGTCATTACAACACAGGATAATATTGTCCTAAAGTAATGGCAATGGTTTTTAAAAAAAAAAAAGAGAACAATTAATGAACAAGAACGAATTACTGTTCATTCTTTCACGATATTGCGTAATATTACGGATGCGTTCCAATTTCAAATCCGATCGATTATAATTCACCGCCTAGAATCGTGTACGGACAGTTACAGACTAATTACACGCTTGCTTAAATTTCAATGGAATGCGACAGCGATGCGGGCGGTGTGACAAACGAGCCAATAGAGATTTGTTTCAATTTAATACGGTCGCTGTTTACGTTGCCTTGTCTATGGTTCAATATTTTTCGCGGCTTATTAGGTTAGCTGTCATTGCATATCAAGGCAATTATCGACGAAAATAAGCAATTTTCTCGTCTCTACGAACTTAGGTAGATATAGCCAGGGCTGTCTAAGTTTACTTAGAGTGTATTAAGGTATCAAAAAGAGGGATAAGACTGTCACAATAGCTAGCATTGTGCATGCTACGGCGACATTGACTTACAACCTTTCCTAAAAAACTAAGAAAATCGTTGGGTCAAACCCGCGATGTAAAATTCCAATTTCAAAAACCTAGCCTATAGACGGTTTCGTTGGCGAATGAATGATGATAACCCTTTCCCGCGTAAATTGACGCGGCCATGTTTACGCAGCCCGTGTTGGTAGAAATTCTTTATCAGTTATACGTATAAATGACGTATTATCTTAAACCAGCAACTTCGTTCGCGATACCTTCAGACATAAACAGTATGAATGTCATATTATTTACCAGTATATCACTTTTTAGATGGACTTTTAAAATAAACAGCTTTTAATTATACATTCAGTCTTTATGCAAAAATGAAAATATGATGAACAATAATGTTATTCAGCTGAAAACATATGATACTTATACTTATACCGGTAAAACAGGTTGAGAGCCGTGATAGCTCAGTGTCCGGGCGCTCGCCTTTAATTCAATATACTCGAGCAACCTGAGTTCGATCCCCGGTGCCGGCACCAATGAAGTTTTTAACTTTAAGTGCTGACTTATCACGTGCTCCGCGGTGAAGGAAAACATCGTGAGGAAACTTGCATATTTTAGAAATAATAAAAAAAAAATATATATTTCGAAAATATGTGAAGTCCGCCAATCTGGGGCCGCGTGGTGGACTATGCCCTGATACCCTCTGTATAGAGGAGGCCTTTGCCCAGCAGTGGGACATATATAGGCTGTTACTTTATACCGGTAAAAAATCTAAAAGGAAAATAAAAGATGTAAAAATCTTTCCAAAACATCTCCAGTATTACAACACAAAATATGAAGTAGAACACTTTAAAACGCTGCGTAGTCCAGATTTCACATTTTAAAACAAAAACAAAATGGCGGCGCACTCGCTTCAAAACTGTGCCTTGAGATTTGTGATGCGAAGCGTCATAAAAGACCCTTACGTGTTTTTTATTGATTTCCGCGCGGAAACGCAATCGTTTTAGCCATTTCAAACTGATAAGAGTGATACGGCTTGTGACGATCGGTCTTAGGAGGTTTGTCGACGTGATACATCACACGCGACGCTTTCGCCCACGGATAAGGACATTTCGTCCGCGCAATTCTGACATTACGTAATAAATCTGCGAAATCACGCGCTCGGCGGTGAAGGAAATCATTGCGACGAGACCTGCATATTTTTGCAAAAATAATGACGAGACAAAAAAAGATTTCGAACATATTATGTGGAGCCCACTAATACCAACAGCGCCCAGCAGTGGGACGTATAAAGGATGTTTACTTTAATTTTATGCAACCACAATTCAGCTGATAATGTTCTTGCAAACTTCAGCAGTATTAAAATTTGTAGAAAAAGTACGAAAAGATTGTCGCCGCTGTGGGAATCGAAACCACGTCTTCGGCGTTCGCGGCCTTACGCTCTAGCCACTAAACTAAACGGCTGATTGCCACACCGACGAAAATCTTAACGTCTTTTATCTATATTGTTTTTTAGCATGTGAAGCAATGCTTTGCGCATCCATTGTTACATCCTTTCCAGCATACAAACAATTTCGGCAGTATGTCGGTGTCTGTAGGCGCCGCTGTGTAAAAAAACCTGTTAAATGAAAGTTCGGAATTTGTGACAAACTCGTTCATGTGAGACTTGAGAGTGGTGGTAATTGAATTCGGTTAAATACATTCGTTCATTCAATTCAAAGACCTCGAGACCGGCGCGCGGCGCGTTAAATATCGGTTATTGGCAAATTGTAAAATGAGGGCATTGTTTTTAATTGGGTCTTTATTGCGACATCATCGAGTATACTTTATTTCCATGCTTGTGGTGGGAGAAATCGTGATAATGTTACATTGGTATTAAATGACACGGGCCGGATTTGCCTTTGAAAATTAATTTACAATGTAGTAAGTATGAAAATTTACCCGGGTTTCAATTTTTAACATCACGAAACATTGAAGACTCAAGTAGAAATAAATTATTAAATCAATAAAATATGAATATAGCGAAATAAAAAAAATGCAAAGCAATGAAACATGAATACTATAAAGTCTTGAAGTTTACTTAAAATTTTAGTTCTAAAATGTCTTAAATAAAGCATAGACGAGAAGAAGGAAGGATTTTAAATTTATTATTATTATTATTCAGATTCGAATCATTAGAACTTCATTGCGTTATTATTTTTTGAGGCTAGAAAAACTAGCCCTTGTCTATGGAATGTCGGAAATGGCGCCTACGGAATTTTCACATCATTAGCGAGCGCTGTGGGCTAGCAGCGCCAATATATGGGCATGGCTCAATTGAGCGGATTATCGACTTCTTCTTGCCCTAGTCAAGGTCTTTAACTTTCTGTCGTTGCTAGCATATATATGGGGGACAGTAACCAGTTTTTAACGCTTATGTTGTCTAAATAGTCGGAACACGATTAATGACAACTTATACATCCTGGGAATCCGTATTTGCAACATTACGATGTTGAGCTATAGCTCAAAATAATATTTGTCGAGTTACTCGAGTACACTCTGTATTTATAATTTCTACGGTGAGTGACATAACTGCAGCGCGCTCCCCGTTTCGGCAGTACCACGGGTTTTGTGGAAGTCCATGGGCGGTGGTATTTATTTTAACATCACGTGAATCGACTGCTCATTTCGCCTTTTCCAATATAAAAGAAACTTCAATAGTTTATAGTCCTTGTTTTATTAAATCATTCATTTTGCGGGTCCTTTGGCTTTATAACTAGTGTCTTCAAGAAGTGCTTAGGTTTGTATTTTAACGCCAGCACCTTACGCTAGTGTTGGCGTGTTAGGGGTTTTCGTTGGCCTTTTCGCTAGTAAACCTACACAAGTTACATGACACCCCCGAATACGGGATGTGTGGGCTATAGGTAATACGTCGCGTGACAAAGAAATCATCAGGAAATCAATCAATTTAATAGCTCCCTTCATTGGAATCGTGTGACAGGGCAGTCATACCCAAGACTCAATAATGACCGATGATGAATTGTACACTTCTGTCTTATCTTTGTCCAATGTTGTACCAAATGTTCTATTTGCAGATGTAAACACATTAATTACAATAACACTGCTACAGATAACAGAAAACGCCGTCAACGGACGTTAGGAATCAATGCGCGCACATCGTAAATATCGAAGGCAGCCATGTGTTATCACGAATATTATTTGTGTTACATAAATGAGCCGTCTCGCATTTTGATAACGGCTGTGTGATTAATTTCACGCGATGTATTACTAATGCTTTCAATTCTATAACGAATATACTATGAGAAATTTTGACAGTGAATATAGGGAAATTTCGTATTTTAAAGAACTTAGTTATGGTCTGCAGATCACTAGGTACAGAAGGTTTATAAAGTGTGTGAAGTGGACAATTTAGCACTTAGCAGACGTTGAAGACGATTCCTTTGTTTATTTGATGTATGCAAACTTTAAATTAGTGTCATTCCATTACGAGCGGTCACAGTTCACGTGACTTTTGAACTTAACCAGGTTTTACAAGAACTGCAAGTGTAGTGGTGGTAGAGAGGCAAAATGTTCTAAAGTACGCTATTAATCGCGAAAATTTACCGTTCAAATGTCCATCGTAAAATATAAGCATTAAGTACTCATCATAATAATTTCGATGCTAATATTTATTAGTAGACTTTATGGGACACCAGTTATCAAACGCGGTAGGGAAAGCGCCTCATTTTCCGAATTAAAATAGCGTATATATTCGAAATAAATCATTGTAACTGATAATCTGCCAAGTTTATTAGGGTTAACAGGACATTTATGTTCGTATGAGTAATTTCTGATGTAAATGAATTCGTGAGTAGAATTTAAATGATAATATATATAAGGTAACATATTATGTATAACTTAGGTCTACACTTGATACAATTCTGTGTATAACATACGCATT